TTATCTAACGGACCAAATTATCTAACGGACCAATTTATCTAACGGACCAAATTAACAAAAGCCGTTGGCAAAACAAAAACTTAACATTATCTAACGGACCAAATTATCTAACGGACCAATTTATCTAACAGACCAAATTAACAAAAGCCATCGGCAAAACAAAAGCTTAACATTATCTAACGGACCAAATTAATTAACAAAAGCCGTCGGCGTTTATGCCTTCGATTTTTTGTGTGCAGATATTTAACAGATATATTATCTTGGCCAACGAGTTTATCTGTTTACTTAGCGAAAATAATCTTATAGCGAAGACAGGAACCGCTCTTCTTATTGTGAATGAATAATTAATGTGTCTATTTGTTTTTCTTTATAGATAGCCTCAGATGTACGAACATTATATGAGATATTTTGCAAATATAAAGCCGTTCTAGTGGATCCAGCCGAGTTTGCCTGTCTGAAAGCTATCGTTTTATTTCGGCCGGAGACAAGAGGTCTTAAAGATCCATCACAAATAGAGAATTTACAAGATCAAGCCCATGTATGTTTGAAAAATTATGTGAGAGAGAAATTTCTTGAATAGAAATGAAATTTTTTTTTTAAAACTATTTTTTTAGGTTATGTTGTCACAGCATACGAAAGCTCAATTTACGGCTCAGGTAGCACGATTTGGACGTTTGCTGTTAATGTTACCGTTACTGCGTATGATAAATTCTCATAAAATTGAATTAGTTTACTTTCAAAGGACAATTGGAAACACACCTATGGAAAAGGTGTTATGCGATATGTATAAAAATTAATTTAATTAAAATAATTTATATAAAAGAATGTGCGAATCTGCGAGTAGGTCTTTGTTTTTTTTTTTAATTTTTCAGTTTTATTTGACTTTATTGTTAAAACAATTTTGATGTTTAAAATAGTTTTAAATAAATATAAATTCCTTAATAAAATGTTTTAAATAAATTAAGAAAACTCTATCGCAACGGATACACAGAGTTGTATTCCTCGAGCACGATAATGATATATGCACTACGAAACATTTTTCTTCCCGAGTTTCTGGGCAATTTTCACTAGTTTTTATTTCTATTAATATCGTTTCAATTTTCCGATCTTTCGACCACAAATGCAATTATATAATTTTAATCCGAAAATGTTCTTCAAATTACAGCTGATTATTATTATGGTACTGCGCAACCAAATGAAAATAAAATTCTATGAAGCATAGAACGCAACTAAAATTAAATGAAGTTTGCAAGACCTTTGCAACATTTGTTTGCTACGCAGAAGAACAAAATGTTATTGAAACAGTATAATGTAAAAGTTTTTCTCATATGAAACAGACCAAATTGTCAAAGGTTATGCTTATCCCGCCCGTTTGATTTCAGGCTAAAAAAATTCTGCACAAGAAAGTAGACATCTTCAGATAATATATATTGGTTGTTAATGATGTAATGCAGCCTGCATATATATCACCTGTTTTTGGGATACACCCATTTTCCTATTCCTAGATGCGGTCCACCTATTTTTATTGAAATCCGTTAGGCGTAAGTTTGTAAATCGTTACAATCGTAAAAACGAAGATAAAAGGCTAAAGTTTGGCAAGAACATGATCGATTGGAAGTATTAAAAAATGGATGTGATCTGTTCACATATAGGCCAAAAATGAACAAAAAAAACTATTTCGACATATTTTTTAAAATTTTAATGTATAGCTTTCGATCCCGTGAATATATTTTTGAAAAAGTGTTAGAATCACCTGCATATGTTCATATAATTACTTTTTTGTTCATTTTTCATTTGCTGCTATCTTAGCGGACATTCGCGTTGCACAGTCTACAAAAAATTAAAAAAAAGAAACTTAAAACGGCGGTAGAATATTCTTGACAGGCGGCGAAACGTAGACTAAAATAGAAATTACGAAAAGTGACAATTAAAGTTACCATATTATTGCAACAAGTTTGCATAAGCAAATTATTCAAGCGCACGTGAAATTAACAGCAAGTAACACAGGATAGAAACAAAAACTACGTTGTTGTACTGTCTTTGTACCAATTAAAGGTGACGACGCTGTAAAGTTGTTCGAGTTTTACACATCTAGGCAGCGTCTGAGGAGGAGGCACGTCTCGCAGACTTTCTTCGCATTTAATGTATGCAGCCAAGATAAAGAAACGACGGTTCATTGCTAATCGGCAAATTCCAAGAATGCCGCTATGGTAGCACTTAACTTCATTGTTTACAAACAGCCCTGTTCTTTCACACATTTGAAAAGGGAGTAGCCGCTCTGTCTGAAAAACTCTTCAGCGTTTTTCAAGGCTGTGTGAGAATATGCAAATCGAATGGGTTTATGAACAAAGTTTTAAGTTTTTCAAAACTTATTTCTAGAATTTTATTTTCACGTCTTTTGTTCGATATGATTTGTAATTTTAATTAAAAATATTATTTATATTATTATTACAATTATTTTAGGCTAATAAAATAAATTCTTAGACTAAAAAAAGAAAACAAATTTAGTGTTCGCAACACATACAAAAGGTAAAAAAAAAACAAACAGTAAAAGCGATTTATTTTCAAATTAACCGTCTGTGTGGCCTGGGTGCCAACGTTTCATTAAAGAAAACAGGAAACTTTACAAAATATAATCATATTAAGTCACTGACCAGTTTAAAAGGAAGCACAGACTGGCGTAAAAGCGTAAGTTACCTTCGCTGTCTTTACGATTGGTTGTTGTATTGTTTTTTATTATTGTGTGATTTTTGTGGTTAGGTATGTTTAACCCGCACAAACAACAACAAAAAACTATAATAAGAAAATTTCTTGTTTTTAAACAAAAAATCGTGTTGTGTTTTAACACCAATTTTTCTTTTTTTTTTTAAATAAAAATATCTTGAAAGTGTATGAAAATTGACACAAATAATTTTGAAAAAAATAATAATGAGCGTTTAAAAATACACCGGCATATATGTTTGAAGATGTGCAAATGCAAATGTACACAATCGCTTGCGTGTATGTATTTAGAAAGATACTTTTTGAAATTAAAACACAAAACATCGGAATAATAAACACACAACGGCACCATTAACATCATTAATAACAACCTAAACGAAAAACTACTTTATTTATTTGTGTGTATGTTCGCATCTTTTTATTGAAAGTAAAAGAAAAAAATAAAAAAAGACATCATTCTCACATTTCATATGTGTGATTGCCTCAAGAGCATCTTTCAGAATTAGTGTTTATTTTTTTTTTTGTTTTGTTCATTCCAATTAGGTTGTACTATCTATAGTGTGTTAATATTGTGCTTATAACATAAGTATCATCATCATCAGTAAATAATTTATCAATGAAGAATTATTGTCTCCACTATAATTTAGTAGATTTGTATTTGTTTTTATTTATTTATTTTTTTGCTTATCAGTCAACTTTGTTTTCACATGCTTTCTTATTGTTGTTTGGGTTTCTATGGCATCCGTATTTGCATCTGTTTATCTCTCTGGCGCGCTTTAAAAAAGGCATCTTAATGAGAGAGAGAGAGAACTGTAGAGAGAAAGACTGAAAGAAGAGAAACGGGAAGAGAGTAGACCATGCATTTATAGTATTTGCAAAGTCAATGAGCTCTTAATATAAGTAAGACATACAAAGAGAGATTAAATATACAAAGAGGGCAAAATAAATAGTAATTTAGGTATCAGGGATGATAAATTCAGTACATTTTATTCGCACTTTTTTTTAAAACCATTTCATCTATCGCAAAGGATTTGGAAGCATCTGAAAGTAAGCGTATAAACAGTTGCTGTGTATATATTTAGAATTGAGAATTATTCAAAGAGTCGGTCTGTATTTGTTTACAATTGTTTAATAAATTATTTATTAACCTCCTCATCAATAAATAGATACATATAGGAATAATCAAACAATATCAACAAAATGTCAATATTCTGCTGCTTCAAAACCAAAATGATGATTTTTTGAAAAGTGATTATTTATAGGTCGAAGTAAGCAAATTAAAAGGAAATGAGTTAATAATATTATTAATTCAACAACCAATGATTAAAATATATTTCATAACATTGGTTAAGGAAAAAGAAACGTCTAAGTTCAATAAAATGGAAGCGTTGAACTTTTTAAAATTGTTGCAAAATTGTTTTAATAATGATTTTTTTACTTCATTTTGCATTTGTAACCTTCATCTTGAATTTTTTTTAAGAAAATTGGCCAGCTTCGATGTTTTCTCTACTGAATTTATGGAAAGTATTCTTGCTTTCCTGTTATATAGAGACGAATCTCTATCAAATAGAGCGACAAAATTGTATGCAATAATGCGGGGAAACTGCCAAAATCAAGAAAACTTATTACACGTGATTAACTATTACGTTGATTATAAAGAAAGTTTTCGTTTTAATTTAATACCTTTATAATCCATTGTAAAAATTTTTTAAACGTTTTCTTCCATTCCCGATCTAAACAATTTGATTTGTTATTAGTCTTACAATTTATTTCTCTTAGTAAATTTATTATAACGAGGAGATTATAGACGGACGAGATCAACTTTTAGATAATCTACTTCGCCTAATACAGTTGTTTACTCGTTTTGGTAATGCTACACCAAAAGTTACACATTATTTCGATGCGAAGATATATTTTCATGAAAGCCCTTATATTGAAGGAATCCTTACATGAAATTGTATCTAAAGTATAGACTATCTATAGTATAGACTTACGTAGTACAATTTCAATAAGATTTGTGTCTATGTTAATTTGCTATTATGAACCTTGTGTTCACCACGCAATATTAAAAATTAAATTTTTTAATATATAAAGATGCAGTTTTCCTACGAACGGTTATATGAAACAGGGATCAAAAAATTGACTCATTTGAACCAAATTTTTAATAACAGTTTAGAATGCACTAACCGTCAATATATGTGATTTTATAACTTTGTTAGAATTGTTGGAAATCAAATTTATGATTTTGAAATTTGTTAGTATTTTTCTTGCTTAATTTTTAAAAAAATTTATTTTTCTAATTTCTAACCTCTTTTTCTTGCTCTCTTTACATTTTTTTTTTCGCAATCACTCCTCTGCGATGAAAAATATCCCCGAGATGAACTCTGTTTCATACATTTTGTTGTACTTGATTTATTTTCATTAAAAGTCAAACACATTTTCACCAGAATGTCGGCATTTTTATTTGAAGGTCTTTGCATTCAAATTGAGCGAAATGCGAATAGCTTAAAAATCATTTAAGTGGATAAAAACGCTTCGACAACAACGAAAAGAAAGATAGAATATTCGATTCTACTATTGTAAGTTTATACCAAAAGTGTGTCGATCATAACAACGCTTCGACAACGTGGACTTTAACGCCATCAATCTTCCATGTGTTCATTTACTTATGTAAAGCTATGGGTCTTCGCTTGAGAAACTGAAAAATGGGAACTACAAGAGTGACCCTATTTTAACAGCTATAGGCTTAGTATGAGAAACTTTTGTGTGATGCCGTGATCTAGGGTTTCTCGTTTTGCTTCCATAAGTTTAGTTGGTCATAATTTCTTATTCTCATAATACAGTCTGTATGAAATGCTATATATACATATGTATTCGAGGAAATTCTTTTGTTTATAGAAGAAAAATGTTTTATTGATATTTATGGCGTTTTTCTTGCACTGTACATAGGGTTCGGTTGAGGAATTCGACAAAACGATGTAGAGTTCACATAGAATTGGTATTTTTAATTTGGCTTCACTTTAATAAAACTTACAAACAATCGCATGTTTCTTATTTAGGATTGGCATCTTTGCTTTTATCTGTAGAGAAAAATCGTGGCCTTATTTATATAGGTATATAGAATAAAAGCAATTCTAGGTAGAATTGAAGAAGTAGATCTGCTTAGAATTACATCAATTCTATATAGAATTTATAAGCGCGACAAACTAACCATTATTATTATTGTTCGATCCTTCATTTAATGTAGTATTGTCTACAGAATTCGAGATTAGCTCATCGATTTTCTCATCGATAGGCCACAGATTAAATTTGAATATAGCTCGCAGATTAGTCGCAAAGCGATGAGAAGCTGGCCGGTAATGACGAAAATAAAAAAGAAATAAAATCATAATAAATCAAGTTTTAAGAATTTCTCAAATATATTACAAATAATAGCCAATTAACTTACGAATCGTTCATGTATAAGACACCGTCTTAAGGGTTCTCTAAAATATTTTTTATGTAAAGTGAAGCGATTGGATAATTGATATCTTCTCGAAAAATACTTACCTTATCGTGCTTATAGGAACACCATCCTTAAGGAATTTACTTCAAACGGAAAAAGTAATTTCGAAATTAAGAAAGTACGTTTTTCTGTTACATACAAAATTCAGCATCTCTTTGTTAAGGAAATGCTAAGAGAGTAAATAGTTATTATTATTCGCTGTTCCTTTAGGCAATCTGAAAACAAGTTTCGTGCGGAAATTCAACACATTTGGCTTTCGTCGAAATTATGACACCTAACATGATTGTATAGAGATTTTTGCTCTACTAGTTGCGGTTACTTGTTCAAGTGATTAGTTTATCTCAGGTGAATTTCTGCTTAAGCCCAACTAGTGAAGTAATGAAAGATTCTCGTCAATAACGTATTGTAGTGGATTGTAAAGCAGGGGACTTACAAGCTTGGAAGTTATAAAATTAGCTTAGGTTAAAACCAATCCTTGTTGCGTTTAGGCGGTCCGGCTATCGACATTTATTGCGTATATTAGGCATTTCACTTATGTGACGATCATAGGAAGAAAAGTTTTTCGCAAATTTTGGGTGATCTTAATAAACTGAAAGAGAACACTTTTAACCAGAGTTTGATGTATCAATTAAATAATATTTCAAAGTTTTCTCTCCTTTAAGGCTTTGTCATTGTGTTTTCTTCTTGACATTCTCAGCTTCGAACAATGCATAGTAAATTTATTCTTTCTGTCTTCACGAAGACCAGTCCGATATTGAAAATCGAATGCTAAACAATTATCTAAGTGTACTTTTGTGTCAGCATATGTAGCTGTAGCTGTTGCAAACGGAGTAATAAAATTAATGTACTTGCGTATGAAGCTAGTGACTTTGACAAGAAGGTATATAACTGATGTGAAATTTTATTTATGTATTTTACAAAAGTAACAATACGCTTAGGATACCCTTTGGTGATTTGTATAACAAAAAGTGTGTGATTTGTGTTTCAATGCTGTAAACAAAGCAAAAAGTTTTCCTATTCTTTGATAACAATGTAGTAGGATCTTAGGTCACATATCTTCATTTATTAACTCGGAAATATTGATGAGACTGTCAAGGTAGCGAAAATTGTGTTAAATCGAGGAAAATTGAATTAAAAGTTTCTTACTTACACGCAATTTGGTATGCACGTCGCACAATATGCATACATGAATACCGCACAAAGCTTTTAAATTTTGTCAATTAGGATGAAAACGAACAATGACTGGGATACTCATGCTTTATTTTCTTGATCTTATCTTTCGTATTGAAAGTCCCCATCTGCATAGTTCTTTTTAAGTTAATTGTTTAAAATTCGTAAACTTTCGCCTGTGAAGAAACAAATGAATGAATCATTGTATAGTCGAGACAACGTTGCAAGTCCTGTAAGTCTGAGCTGCTAGTCAGCGTTATATAATTACTAATCATTTAATAAGCAATTTTTTTAATTAACAAACATAATCTTAATAAGAAGATTACAACGTATGCAGTTATTCCATATACGGGAGATGCTTAATTTCAACTTTCTACACGATTGACTTCCCTTTGTCAAAAATATTTCACAATCAACTGGCAAAAAATTTGACATGTGGCTAAGCGGCAAAGAACAAACGAAGAGGAATTCATAGTAGATAGTAGAAGAAGAGCTCAAGCCATAAAGACATTTCCGCTTCTCTTATTGAGGCGTAACCCGCTTCATTTTTTTCAAGTACATTGCTTAAGAACTCTGCTGCTACAGTAGATTAGCGTGTCATTTACATAGATTTGTAACATGACCGGATTACGCTTAATATGATGAATACATTATTACTTAGGCTGACAAATAAAGTTATAAGTAAATCTCCCTCTCTCAACCGGTCCCCCCAACTATTAAAGTTTGGAGCGAAGCTTAAGGCGTTAAAACTTTCCCATATATTTCCTTAAACCCCAATCATACCTTTTTGGGTGCGTTATAGCATTTCACTTCCGCGAAATTTTCACTTGCTTGTGAACCAGTGACTAGTGACCTATCCGTGGTGTTCAAGTTTAAGACAAAACGTCGTCGAATTTGATATGGAAAAAAACACTTCAACCTAAGCCCATTCACAGGTAATAAATAGAATGTTAGAGAAGCTTAACCTTTATTTTAAAAACACGGTCGCTTATCCACTTAGGACGTGTTCATCCGAACTTTTTTAAAGTGGTCAAAAAAAAAAAAAGATTTAATCACAAAAAAAAGGCTTTTGATCGGAACTTTTCTTTCTCCTAGTCTGCTGCACAACTCCACACTTTCTACCAAGTTATACTTCCCACCTCATCGAAATCATGCTTTCGTCCTCCCCCTCTTCCATTCTTCTGAGTTTAAAACTCGACCGATAAAATCTTTTCTCTCCCTTGTTTGTATGCCTATAGAAATACTCCCTTAATCCTTTTCACGTACTATCTGGATCTGGTGTTTCCTTTCATAATTTTGGCAAATCGATCAAGTTTTAACTTCCCTTCCTCTTGAACTTTTGTTTCAATGGGATTGTGTGCCTTTCCTTCCACCACGAATTTCTGCTAATACAATTGCGTAAGTGAATTGAAAAGCACACTTTCTTCAAGTTACTTTACTTGCTTAAGAACGTTCAAAGAAACTCCCTTAAGTTAGCGTTGCTTTCGAAACAATGAGGTTTTTTTGGCTGCCTGCTACTCATCCAAGTTCTGGCTATCGAATATTGGAAAGTTTATCAAGCGATACTGCGTGATCTCTGTCGAGTTTTTTCGCCCTCCTTCTCGTCTGCCTCTGTACCAGGGCACTATCCTCAAAGCTTCTGTGAAAGGGAAACATTATTCCGTTTCTTTGAAATGCGTGCATCCATTGAAATCGGGTGCTGCTCCAATGTCTTCTCGGCCATTCCCAATCTATATGACAATGGTAAGCAACTCTACTCGATTAAAATACGCCTTTGAACACTTTTCTATCGCATAAGCTAGGCCGTATTTTGAATACGTCGCCCACACGTCACTCAACTTGTGATATCAATTGCCTTCATAAAAATGACGGATTCGTTGAAGCGAACAAAAACATAAAAACATATCTCTCTGCTTGTCATGTTTATATCAAAACAATGATGCTAGCAGGATGAACAAAACTAACAAAAAAGAGAGGCACTCTCTGAAATTACTAAACACAAGTAATCTACCCTTCTAATGCATTCGAAAATATAAAACATAACCTATAACAATAATAACAATACTGGCACCAATAACAACAACAAAAACGTGGAATAACGCATTAGAACAATAACAATAATTCAAGAAAATGAAAAAAAAAAACGGGGCGCCAGAAAGAATCACAACACAACAAACACTAAACAACTAAGTAGTAGTAGTATTCCGCTATGCTGCTGGACTGAGCGGAGTGAGTGGTGAATGGTATGAAGTGGTGCTTTATTGTTTGTTTGTTTAAGGGTACAGCTGTTTAACAAAGAGAGCCAAAAAATGCTGAAAGAAGAGTTCACTTTTTCTTTTTCACTCTCTCTTGTTCGGTATCTTTCTCTCTCTCTCTCTCTCTATTTTTCTCTTCGCCGATTTGATACTCAGTTTGGGTTCATAACCGTCAGTAATGAAATGTCACAAATATAAAATCGTCCCCAAAGTTTTTTTTTTAGTGTGTTTAGATATGTCAATGAGTTTGGACGTGTTTGAGTATTCTATGCAGGTTTATGTTTATCTTCGTGTAAATTGAGACAAAATGTGAAAAGACAGAATCTTTGAAAACTAACACAAAAAAAAGAAAAAAAAAAGTAATGAAAATAAATAAAGCAGAAAGAAAGAAAAAGGAGCCGAAACATTAAATATTATGATGAGGAGGACTCTAAGATAAACATCAAGTGTTTTTCTTATATCTTTTGTATATATATATATATATATATGTATAAGTATAAAAAAAAAAAAAAATAAAAAAAGTTTCTTTGAGAAGCGTTCATTTCAACATAACAAGTAATTTGAAACTAAAGGCATTGTCGGCTGCATATAATTCATGTTTTTAGTAATCGTGGCAAAATCATAAAGTTTTTTATTTATCTCGGCAGATTTATAATAAATCTCTTCGCGTATAACGTTGTGTAGATGATATAAAAATTTAAATATCACATAACTTTAAAAACGTCATCATCGAGTAGATATGTTGATGTTCATTGTAATAATAAAAACAAAAAAATAATAATAATAATAAAAAATGAAGACAACAACGTAACATATAGCACAGCATACACAACAAATCACAACAGTCAACAGGATAACGGCAGGCAGCGATTAACAGCGATTGGCAATATAATCATCAGCATTATTATGAGCGTACATGGGAAACCATGAAGCAAAACACAAAATCCCTGTAGATACATGCATATATATACTACATATATACCTATATATAGACAATCCTATGAACAATTGATGTTTACATATATTAAAGCATTTCGCATATATGCACCGTTCTATGTGGGGAGTGAATAGCCTTTTCATTGCATTCTCTAAAATACAGGGGAGCCAAAAATAATAATAATAATAATAATAATAAAAAAGAAACGGCATTAAATAGAAATATTGAGAAAGCAAATGCACACACACACACATACACATACATGCATACAAACCAGTACACTATTGCAGTGGTACTCGTTTACTGAAATTCCTTAGAAATAGTAATAAAAAAAAAGCCAGAAATATAAAAGCGGAAAATTGAAATTTCTTTCTTTCTATTATTATTATTATTTTTTTTTTTTCTTGCTGTTGTTGTTATATTCATTTCGTTCGTAAACTATTGCATTGTATAGTGCGTGTGTGTTTGTGTATGTTTATGTGAACCTCCCTAAAAAGAAGAAATGTTTTCGTCTTGTACTTCAAATTGTCCAAGAAATGCTTAATACGACGAACGTATTGTTAACGTATAAATGTTCAGCTATGGGCCGTACAGATGTTCCTTAAACTCCTTTTGGTCGTGTAAGTACTAAATGCAACTTAAATATCTATGTATGAGTAAACTAAAATATATATATACAGATCTATATGTTTATACAGTAATTGATATTTGTTTAAGTGCACTTAAGACTATTTCGAGATTGATAAGAGCTAATGGCTCATGTATTTGAGGAGAAAAAAAAACCGCTTAAGCTACATATGCATCACAAATCAAATAAAGGAATGTTTAATAAAAAAAAAAAAAAAAAAAAACAACGAGCAGCTAAAGGGATACAAGAAGTAGAGCGTTTCGCAACAAGAAGAATGACTTGAAATCATTCAAACTATAGAGTCATTGGTCACCAGTTGTATGACAGGTGACCCAACCTTCATCCAAACTGAGATCAGTTGACATTATTCAGTGAAGAATCCAGTCGTTGTACTGGCACTCCGGCAACGAAAATCGTAACAAACGCTCGTTGGCTGTGAATGAAGAATCTATTGCACTATTCCTCTCAGGCCTTCGTAGGCCAAAAGGCAACAGTTTCTTGCTTATTAAGTACGGAGCTTCATCACTTAAAACATTCGCGTTTAAGAAATCATAATCTTCACATTAGATAATTTCTTCACATTTTTCAGTTACCCCAATCTATAATGAACGAAATCAGATAACGTTAGACGTTAGATACAAGTCATGGTAAGGCTTTGAGTGTTCAAAAGAAATGCCGTTCAAGTTATTTGCAGCTAGCGTTGTGTTGTCATTTGCCGAAGAGATGTATAACTTCCTTTACGGATCCTTTCCCTAAAAGTTTATTAGAAACTCGTTCCATTTAGAAATGATCTTCAATATCGTCCCAGCCAATTTTCAAGACGATGATGATGAGTGCTTGACAGCCGGTAGGTAAATGTAGATAAGCGTTATAGTTGACCTTTTGTACTTTTGGCAACGTTTTTTACTCAATTTCCTATCAACCCGGCCAAGGCGCTCGAAAAGTCGCTTAAGCGAAGAGTTTTAAGCCACTTAAGAAAATGTTTATTGTATATTGAGGGTACTTTCGTGGATAAAAGGTGCCAATAACGGTTGACATATTTAGAAAGTGTCTCAAACGATTTCTTGCATCTTGCCGAGTAAACTAGAAGAACTAGCGAAAGATAGCGGTATCCGAGGGGATTAGATAAGGCTTGCGACTATCCAGTCGTTGGCCGGGGGCTCGAATCTTAGTGCAGTAGACCATACTTTGTAAAAATACATTGCATACTGTTTACTGTAACTTTGCTATGATTTTTGATCAATGATCTTGTCTATAATGACATAATTGAAGCATGCAAGCATACGTATTGTTTAATCCGGCTGATATTGTAGCCAGAAATGAATAAATAAATATATCAAGTATCATTAATTATTGCACGAGGAAAGAGTTTCTTTGATTGCCTCAGAAGATGGCAAAATCTGTTTAAAAATTTTTTGAAAGCTACTCATGCATCGTACGGGATAACCTGGAACAGAGAAAACAAAAGAAGCCACTGAATATTATTGGGAGTAGATGAGGTATATAAAAATGATGTGTCCTCTATTTCGGAACACCTGCATCGCAGATGAAGGTCGAAAAATTTGTTAGGAAAATATTTTAAATTCACTTTAAGCATCGCGCCAAAGAAGTTAATGGCGACAGTCAGTAGCGTTCTTGGATTCTGCTCAGGCATATAGTTATTGTGTCTTTTGTTACTATCTTCAAGGTTTGTGATCATTTTTGAATTGTTGTGATAGAAAGTTTTTGCAGAATACATTTAAAGGACACTTTAAGTCTTTTTGTCGACAGAAAACAAACAAGTAAAAAAGTTATATTCGGCGGGAGCCGAATCTCACATACTCATCACATGAACGCTTGGTCCATTTAAGTTTGGTTTTTTCTAAACACCACAAGACTTAATGCATTAAACGTGTACCAGAATTAAAGCATAACTAACACTCGCACTCTCCTCTTCAACCCTTTTCATTTGATACCGATATTGAAGGTATTTTTAAGAAGACATTTATCCACTAAGTCGTGACTTCTATCGCAATTAATTTAGAATTAACACACAGCTTTCTCATTCTACACTCCAAGTTCTTTTATTTGATACCCATATCACTGGTATTATTAACAAAAAAAACTAATCCACCACGTCGCAGTGTCTACCATATTCAGACATTTTAAGGCGGATAGTATACCTCCAGTTGAGGAAGTTCCAAAATAGTTTTAAGCATTCTGTCTTGCTTGCCTTATAATAGATAAATAAGCATAAAACTTAAAGAAAGTGAATAAATAAAAATTAATCATTTGTAACTTAGTGTGGACATGGCCGATTTTTCCCACATGTGCACGTAAACGTAGAGTGTTTTGCAAAGTAAATGTGAAAAATTTCAAACTTCTCTAACTTTTATAATTTCTGAATAACGAGCCAAAAACCCAAAAATTTTTGTCAAGAAAAACGATGTTGTGTTCAGTTTATGCTCCACTTCTGGCTATTATTCTGACCAACTTGGCCCATTTTTAATACCAACCTGTGTGCAAAGACATTCAATGTTTCTACAAAATTTGAAGTCAATATCTTCATTTTTGCGACAGCAGAGTGTCAACAACAAACATCACATGGACGGACGGACAGACACGGCTTAATCAATTCATAATTTAACGCTGATCAAGAATATGTATAATTTATAGGGTCTCCGATTCTGTGCAAAAAAAAGCCAAATGAGTATATCTCCATTCTTCAGTGGTGGGTATAAAGATGAAAAGCCATTAATAGATTTATATATATATAACAATTGTTACTTATTAGCACTCTCCAAAGTTTTTCATTCCAATGAATCGATTCCCGTGACTCTCCTAACGTTTTTCTCTTAAATTCCTAACTTTCTAAATTTGAGCTTTCCAAGTGACATTCGAAGCTTTCGGATGAACGCATTGAAAAGGTTAACAATTACATATCTTTTCGAAATATAATAAAATTTTCTTTTAAAAAAAAATCTATGAATTACGAACGAAGAAGGGGAAATGTTTAACATATACTTAGCTGGTGCAAATTACTTTTACCTCTTGTTCGAGAGAACCTCTTAAGATGGTTGTAGATGAGTCCAGACGTTTCACAGATAACTAACAAAGACTCATCTCACAAATTTATTTAATTACCTCCTCCCACCCGCATTTCTTGCAGAAAAACACGTCTATAGAATCTGAAAAGTCAGCAAAGCATTTTATCTGGCGGTATGTCTTCGTTTGAGAAAATGTAAGCGAGTATCAGAGTTCGAGAAAAAATGGTCAATTGTCGGCTTGCAAAGAAAAAAAAAAAAAACTCTTTTCTCAAAAAAAATAAGATTTGCTTCTACAATTTCTTCGTTAGTTCCACATTGCTTAAGTCGCATCGCAAACAAACACATAACCTTGTGGCAACGAAGGGACAATGTCTGTATTGGTTGCGATCAATCATTCTCTACGTACGTTAAAATACAGCGATTATCAGAAGGAAAAATGTATGGAACGGGGGTGAGGGTGCGGACGTAGCCGTAATCGAGGTGCATAGCCAAACGCTAAGTGCCATATTTTTACCGATCGAGCACCCATTATAGCGATCCCATGCTAATCTTAATGAGTCTAGTGGGAATTCATCTCTCGAATTTGAGCTCTCCTATGCCTACTAGATACTCGCGTTCCTTACTTCCTAGACTAAGCTAAGCGCTAGTCAATGGAATAGTAACATCCAATGTACGTAAAAAATTTTAGTCTCGAAATATTAGTTTCACGAAAAAGACGAACATTTCACACTTTTCCTGTTTCTTGACACGGTAAAGCAACGTTTGCCTCGGCATTGCCGTCGTGGTGCCTGGGCGCTTACTGTTTCAGTTTAGTTAAGCGTGGAAGAACGGAATTGTTAACCTTAGGTAAAGGAATTCGTTGCGAATGGTAAGATCGTTAAACTAGAATTTCTTGGTATTTTTTTTATGCTAACCTAATACCGTATGCGTAGAGAAGACAAGCCGTGTTTGTAAACTTGAAAATAAGTAAATCAATGAAAGTCGATTGATTTGAAAAATATATTTATCGCTTAGTAGGTGCGATTCTAAAAATGGAAATTTTCGAAAAATTCCTTAGGGAAAGCAATACTTTTTTTAAATTAAATATTTAAGACTTTATCGCTATATATATAAAGTCAGTTTAACTCGAGCATAGTACACAATTTCGTTTTTGCTCAAAAAGGATTATCTTCAAAACGAATGCTTTACGATTCATGTTTCTGTTGAGATACAACATTTTATATTATTATTATTATTATTTTTATTAATTCTCTTAAAAGCACTAACATCTTAAAGGCTACCTGGCTTTTATTAACTACTCTACCGCATTTGAGAGATTTGAGAACCCACGACCATTGAGTTGCTGGTCGAGATTCTTCGCCTTCGGCCACTCGGGCGGATTACATTTTATAATTATACGCAATGATTAAGAAAATTAAATCAAAATAAAAATAAAAATATGGATGAAAAACTAAAATATATCCCTTAGGATTAAGAAAACACAAAAAACAAATTTTATTGCAATTAACTATCGTAGAGTGAGCGTGCGGATGATGGTCTCTTGACGTCCACAAAATATTGTACAATATTTTTTCGATAGCTTTTAGAGTTTATCAAAAATTTGGAGTAAAGCGTTTCCTTTGCTTCTTCTAATGTGCTTTACATGTTGCTCACGCAAAACACAGTATGGGGCAATTAATAATACGTTTAGTAATAATTTTACTTTTTGCTGCTTTTCGGGAGCATGATATCACACTTGCGAGATAAATGTGCGTGTGTGTTCAGTGAACACACGAACGTAACAAAATTCAGGACTATTTTAGACTCTATCCGTGATACGGTCTGTCTATGCTTTATGCAAATGATTTCCTCCCCATAAGTACAACTTAAATGCAGCTTGAAATGACAATAATCATCAAGCATTTATTGAACAGTAAGCCAACTACGACATCATTAACAGCAGGAGGGATTAGCTTCAGCAAAGCAC